GTAAATTTTGTGGCCTGCTCTTCATATCTGAGAGTCAAATCGAAGCGTCTAATAGTGCGCTTAAAGCGCAATTGTAAACATTCTAATTGTTTTGCTGCTAATCTGCTAAATAGTATATTTTGGGGCATGCATTTCATATCTGAGAGTCAAATAGAAGCGTCAAATACTGCGGTTACAGCACACTTGTAAAATTTCTTATTTTCTGGTTGCTAATCTGCTAAATAGTACATTTTAGTGCTTGCACTTCATATCTGAGAGTCAAATAAGAGTGTCTAATAGTGCGCTTACAGAGCAGTTGTAAAAATTCAAATTTTTGGGGTGCTAATCTGCTAAATAGTACATTTTGATGCCTGCTCTTCATATCTGAGAGTCAAATCGAACCGTCTAATAGTGCGCTTACAGCACACTTGTAAAAATTCGTATTTTCTGGGAGCTAATCTGGTAAATAGTACATTTTGGGGCGTGCACTTCATATCTGAGAGTCAAATAAAAGCATCAAATACTGCGGTTACAGCACACTTGTAAAATTTATTATTTTCTGGTTGCTAATCTGCTAAATAGTATATTTTGGGGCGTGCACTTCATATCTGAGAGTCAAATAGAAGCGTCAAATACTGCTGTTAAGATCAATTGTAAACATTCTAATTGTTTTGCTGCTAATCTGCTAAATAGTACATTTTGGGGCCTGCTCTACATATCTGAGAGTCAATTTGAACCGTCTAAGGGTGCGCTTACAACGCAGTTGTAAAAATTCAAATTTTCGGGTGCTAATCTACTAAAAAGTACATTTTGGGGCGTGCACTTCATACCTGAGAGTCAAATCAAAGCATCTAATAGTGCGCTTACTGCGCAATTGCAAAAATTCTAATTTTCTGGGTGCTAATCTGCTAAATAGTACATTTCGGGGCATGCTCTTCATATCTGAGAGTCAAAATAAAACGTCTAATAGTGCGCTTACAGCACACTTGTAAAGATTCTTATTTTCTGGGTGCTAATCTGCTAAATAGTACATTTTGGGGCGTGCACTTCATATCTGAGAGTCAAATAGAAGCGTCAAATACAGTGGTTACAGTGCAGTTGTAAACATTCTAATTGTTTTGCTGCTAATCTGCTAAATAGTAAATTTTGGTGCCTGCTCTTCATATCTGAGAGTCAAATCAAAGCGTCTAATAGTGCACTTACAGCGCACTTGTAAAAATTCTTATTTTCTGGGTGCTAACCTGCTAAATAGTACATTTGGGGCGTGCTCTTCATATCTTAGAGTCAAATAGAAGCGTTTAATAGTGTGCTTACAAAGCAGTTGTAAAAATTCTAATTTTCGGAGTGCTAATCTGCTAAATAGTACATTTTGGGGCGTGCTCTTCATATCTGAAAGTCAAATCAAAGTGTCAAATAGTGCGCTGACAGCGCTGTTGTAAACATTCTAATTGTTTTGCTGCTATTCTGCTAAACAGTAAATTTTGTGTCCTGCTCTTCATATCTGAGAGTCAAATCGAAGCGTCTAACAGTGCGCTTACAGCGCAGCTGTAAAAATTCAAATTTTCTGGGTGCTAATCTGCTAAATAGTATATTTTGGGGCATGCACTTCATATCTGAGAGTCATATCGAAGTGTCTAATAGTGCGCTTGCAGCGCAGTTGTAAAAAGTCAAATTTTCTGGGTGCTAATCTCCTAAATAGTACATTTTGAGGCGTGCTCTTCATATCTGAGAGTCAAATAGAAGCGTCAAATACTGCGGCTAGAGCGCAATTGTAAACATTCTAATTGTTTTGCTGCTAATCTGATAAATAGTACATTTCGGGGCCTGCTTTTCGTATTTGAGAGTCAAATAGAAGCATTTAATAGTGTGCTTACAACGCAGTTATAAACATTCTATTTTTCTGGGTGCTAATCTGCTAAATAGTACATTTTGGGGCCTGCTCTTCATAGCTGAGAGTCAAATCGAAGCGTCTTATAGTGCGCTTAATGCGCAGTAGTAAAAATTCTAATTTTCTGGGTCCTAATCTGCTAAATAGTACATTTTGGGGCCTGCTCTTCATATCTGAAAGTCAAATAGAAGCATCAAATACTGCGGTCACAGCGCAATTGTAAACATTCTAATTGTTTTGCTGCTATTCTGCTAAACAGTAAATTTTGTGTCCTGCTCTTCATATCTGAGAGTCAAATCGAAGCGTCTAACAGTGCGCTTACATCGCAGCTGTAAAAATTCAAATTTTCTGGGTGCTAATCTGCTAAATAGTATATTTTGGGGCGTGCACTTCATATCTGAGAGTCATATCGAAGTTTCTAATAGTGCGCTTGCAGCGCAGTTGTAAAAAGTCTAATTTTCTGGGTGCTAATCTCCTAAATAGTACATTTTGGGGCGTGCTCTTCATATCTGAGAGTCAAATGGAAACGTCTAATAGTGTGCTTATAGGGCATTTGTAAAAATTCTAATTTTCTGTGTGCTAATCTGCTAAATAGTACATTTTGGGGCGTGCTCTTCATATCTGAGAGTCAAATAGAAGCGTCAAATACTGCGGCTAGAGCGCAATTGTAAACATTCTAATTGTTTTGCTGCTAATCTGATAAATAGTACATTTCGGGGCCTGCTTTTCGTATTTGAGAGTCAAATAGAAGCATTTAATAGTGTGCTTACAACGCAGTTATAAACATTCTATTTTTCTGGGTGCTAATCTGCTAAATAGTACATTTTGGGGCCTGCTCTTCATAGCTGAGAGTCAAATCGAAGCGTCTTATAGTGCACTTAATGCACAATTGTAAACATTCTAATTGTTTTGCTGCTAATCTGCTAAAAAGTACATTTTGGGGCCTGCTTTTTATATCTAAGAGTCAAATCGAAGCGTCAGATAGTGCGCTTATAGTGCAGTTGTAAAAATTCTAATTTTTCGGGTGCTAATCTGCTAAATAGTACATTTTGGGGCGTGCTCTTCATATGTGAGAGTCAAATAGAAGCGTCTAATAGAGCACTTACAACGCACTTGTAAGAATTCTTATTTTCTGGGTGCTAATATGCTAAATAGTACCTTTTGGGGCCTGCTATTCATATCTGAGAGTCAAATCGAACCGTCTAATTGTGTACTTACAGCGCAGTTGTAAACATTCTAATTTTCTGGGTGCTAATCTGCTAAATAGTACATTGTGGGGCGTGCACTTCATATCTGAGAGTCAAATAGAAGAGTCTAATAGAGCGCTTACAACGCACTTGTAAAAAATCTTATTTTCTGGGTGCTAATCTGCTAAATAGTCAATTTTGGGGCGTGCACTTCATATCTGAGAGTCAAATAGAAGCGTCTAATAGAGCACTTACAACGCTAATATGCTAAATAGTACATTTTGGGGCCTGCTATTCATATCTGAGAGTCAAATCAAAGTGTCTAATAGTGCGCTTACAGCGCAGTTGTAAAAATTCACATTTTCTGGGTGCTAATCTGCTAAATAGTATATTTTGGGGCGTGCACTTCATATCTGAGAGTCATATCGAAGTGTCTAATAGTGCGCTTGCAGCGCAGTTGTAAAAAGTCTAATTTTCTGGGTGCTAATCTGCTAAATAGTACATTTTGGGTCATGCTCTTCATATCTGAGAGTCAAATGGAAGCGTCTAATAGTGTGCTTACAGCGCATTTGTCAAAATTCTAATTTTCTGGGTGCTAATCTGCTAAATAGGACATTTTGGGGCCTGCTCTTCATATCTGAGAGTCAAATCGAAGAGTCTAATAGTGCTCTTAAAGCGCAGTTGTAAACATTCTCATTTTCTGGGTGCTAATCTGCTAAATAGTATATTTTGGGGCCCGCTCTTTATATCTGAGAGTTAAATCGAAGCGTAACTTTGATTCGAATTTACTACGTCGGTCACTTGTAATATTGTTTCCCACCTACAACACTTGTTACACAGATCTAAGTGATATAAAACAGATTGATATTTTCTACACTAGAAACTACCAGATAACAAGCTGCTATATTTAAACCAGTTATCAATAGCTAAGAGGTACTTAAACCATATTGTAATTTTGGGGCAATACCCTCACAAGTCAAACTGAGAGGTCAGTTTATAGGGAAAACTGTTGCCTGGATACAATTCTAAAACAATTTCCATATGTCCTTTGAAGACTTTACATGCTGGAAAAACACAGGTGCCAACTGCTAAGGCTTTCTGCAGTGTGCAGACCGGCAAAGAGGGCGGGGTTGAGGAGTGGGTGGAAGATGATGTGGAGGATGATGAGGTCCTAGACCCCACTTGGAATGAAGGTCATGCAAATGACATGTGCAGTTTGGAGGAAAAGGCGCTGGTCGCACAGAGGCACCAGCACAGCATAAGAGGGAGCAGGGTGCAAAAGCGGAGCGGCTGTCCCCTAGCGCTTGTCGGCATGTATTATCTTTAGAATTCCCACAGTTATCCAAGTAACAGTTAAAGCGATAAAAAGAACCATAACAGATTTGACGAGCCATTCACAGTTTTGCAGTCCAGTGACCAGGACCCAGACACTGTCTGGGCGGCGGTCGGACGACTGGGACCCAGTATGCCTGATGTAGAAGTTAGGAGTCAAAGTGTGGAACTGATTAGCAGGGTCTGGTGCAGGGTAACCACATGCCCCCAGGTGTTGATATACATACCACATACCAGGACCCTGATACAGCTTCAGTAAAAAGAGTACTGGATACCACAAGCCCCCACCAGACTGAGCCACAACTTGGAACAGAATGTGACATTCACTGTAGCGGCTGTGCGCGCTTTCGGTGTTCTCACCTTGTTGCTGCTTGCCTGTCTGTGCTGCAGCGTATCTTTGGCCTCTTATGTGACGTGCCCACAAGGTGGAACTCCACCTTGCACATGCTGGAGAGACTGCTTGAGCAGCAGCAGGCGATAGTGGAGTTTCAGCTGCAGCACGCACGGGTCAGTGACTCTGCACCAGACTTCCCTCCAATTGATCAGAGTTAAAGGATTTCAAGTCGACTCATTAAAATTACAGGGCCTCTAAAGAGTCCTGTATTGTTATTTGTCGTCACTACCTCCCCACGTCGGGAGTGGGTTATTTATGCGCCTGCTGCCTTCCTTGTATGTGGTAGCCATTTGTCAAAGTCTCTGTACGTAATCGAACCCTGATTCCCCGTTACCCATGGTCACCAAGATAGACGTAGTCAATGGCTTCGAAAGTTGATATGGATTGACATACGAATGCGTCGTCGCCTTCTCGTTGGGGTGCACATTGAAAAAGTGCTCTAGCATGATGAGCTGGGTGATCTCCTGCGGGAACTGGGAGTTGAGCAAGTTCTGGGTGGCCCTTGTGATGCCACGGTGTATACCCAGATATATCAGAGATGCTGCATAAAGTGCAGGCTGTCTGTGCGCGCTTTTGGCATTCTAACCCTGCTGCTGCTCACCTGTCTGCGCTACAGCGTAACTTCAGCCTTCCCACTCACCGCCTCATGAGACTGTGCGAGCAGCAGCAGGCGATAGTGGAGTTTCAGATGCAGCATGGCTCAGCTGTATTTTTTATTTTTATGTTATTTTAAGTGATTTCCCTATCCATATTTGTTTGCAGGGCACTTGTCCTACTCTTACCCCCATTTTACGTCCTTTTGCGGCCCTTTAGCCCTTTCCAGGACTTTTTTAGAGGCATTTTTGTGGCTAAAAGTTCAGGTTCCCATTGACTTCAATGGGGTCCGGGTATGGGGTCAAGTTCAATCACGAACCCGGACTTTTTTTCAAAGTTCGGCCGAACCCACCGGACCTGAACATCCATGTGTCCTCTGAACTCTATTAGTGTCTCTTAAGTGTTTCTTTCTTTTTACTTATATAACTTCTCTTTCTACTCTTTCTACTCTCTTGTTGATTTCTTTGATAGTTTCATTAAAAATCTCTGGACTAGTAGTGTTACTTAATTTATCCTTCCATTTTTTAATATCTGTATCAATATTTTGTAAATGTTCCTCTCGTCTAGACATAATGTATCCCATTGCACTAAACGAAAATCCATCTAGCATTTTATTCAACCCATGAAATAAGGGTCTTCTCTATCAAAAGCAGGGTCTTTATAAAACCTCTATCTACTGTCCCCATAGCCGTTCATATTTGGTGTTTTTTTTCTGGAATTGCCCTCGAGACACTCAAGGTTCAATCAAATGGTATCAGCAGTTTCCAGGTAATCCATTCTTCATACTTGAATTTCATCTGGCCAGCCAACCATAGCACTATTCAAAACTAAATTATCACATATTCAAAAAGACTGGTTAGAAGCCTCCAAGTTCCGGGTAATGTTGGGTTTCAAAATTCTTTCAATATTGGGAGCCCTACATACAATATTTAGATACACCTACTGAAGCTCTTGTTCGACATATGTTTCTATTTCTAATCAGGTTTATTTGGATAATGAGGAATGAGGGTAAATTTGTTAACACTTTTATTTGGCAACAGTTTTATTTTTATTTCTGAACTAGGGGTACTCTGTCACATGTAATAGCTTTTGATTATTATATAAAATTGAATGTTAAATTGATCAGTTTCATTTAGTTGTTGTTTTTGTTTGTTTGTACCTGTCTTTCTTTAAATGACTTTGACCTTGGCAAAAATTCCTCGATTGTTTGGTTATGTAACACTGGCATCAGATGTGTTCTCTAATTTGTTTAGAATCCAATAACATGTTTGAATTAAAATACTTATCATGAATACCCTTCATTGTTACATAGTTTAATAATAAAATAGGAAATAAAAAAGACTAAAGTGCATCAAGCTCAGCTTTTCATTTATCTATATTACTGCTGGTGATCTAAAAGAAGATGAACAACCCAATTTGAAGCAATTTCCAATGTTGTCACAAATTGTGGGGGAAATCCTTCTTGACTGCAAAGTGGCACTCAGACTTCACCTTGGTTTATCAAGTGTTTACCCCACATGTTAAAGGGACACTATAGGGACCCAGGGCACTTCAGCTCATTGAAGTGGTCTGGGTGAAATGTCCCAGGCACCTTATTCCTGCAATTGTAAGTATTGCAGTTTTTGACAAACTGCAATAATTGCCTTACAGGGTTAACATCAACTCTAGTGGCTGTCTACCAAACAGTCACTAGAGGGACTTCTGGGTGGTTAGGCGACATTTGGCAGCCTGATGCTGGATGTCCTCACTCTCTGTATTAGGACCCAAAACCCCATAATGCCTAGTCTTAATGCGAGCGAGTCGTTCGCCCCAGATTCGCATTAGGTCCTCTCCACCGATATCAGCCGAGGAGAGGAAGAAAAGCCTGAACCAGTGCTGAGTGACATCGGCTCTGGATTCAGGTAAGTGATACAGGGGGTTTTAAATGGGGGGGGGGCTGCGAGGGAGTGGGCACTATCGTTTTTGAAAAGCTGTGAAAGGTCTAGTAAAACAAAATCTTTAGGCAAATCATTCAATATTTTTCATGTTCTTAGTGTATAGAATTATAGGAGAAATCTCCTCTTCAAGTATAAATGAGTGACCTATTGTTCTTTGTACAGTCCTGTTAATGAACAGATCACCGGAAACCATTGTACTGGCCTTCTTTGTCGCATTAATATTACGTTTAATTTGCAACTTGCTATCCAGCTCCCTAATTCATCCATATCCCTCTGCAGCAAAGTAATATCCCGCTCACATTGCACTATGTTATCTAGTATTCTGTCATCTACAAAAACTTTCACATGACTTTCAGCATTGATTACAAGATCATTAATAAATAGATTGAAGAGAAGTTGACCCAGAACAGACTTCTAAGGCACTCCACTACCTTTGAGTTTTCTTCACAGCTACTCTCTACACTCAATCTTTAAGCCAACGTGAAATCCAAGAACTGATTAAACTTTTTCTAAGTGTATGTCAAGAAAATAAAACATAAAAACATATATTATTGAGGTACTAATAAAGATTGCAATGTTATATTTTTCATTATTTGAAATTAGGCACTTCTTCCTGTAAGAATTGGCTAATATGTAATATGTCAGACGTGTGTTTTATTTATGCTTCTTTGTGTGTTTGTATTTCCTTAATGCATTTTATTCAGCCTATAGTATTATTTTATGCATTCAGTTTCTCTCCTTTAAAATGAAAATTATGGGAATTACTTTATTTTTTAAATGCAATGCTGAAAATAGTTTGATCTCATGGTCATTCAAGAAGTCAAACTTGACTCACACCTGCAAACTGCATATTATCTAGGCAACATAAAACACATAAACACATTATCAAAAAATGTAACACCAAATAAGATCCACATGCTCTTTATTAAGGTTTTACAGAAAAGTCAAGAATTTGTAACCTGGAGCTGGAAGACCTCAAAATGCATCAGAAGTGTTTTATATACATAACACCAGGGATCCCTCCCTCCCAAAAATTCCAAAAATAAAGACAAGCAGGAAAAATAAGACACATGGCTGTTAACACCCGCAGAACATTCACTGCAAAAAGGGCACCACTTTCCAGTGGTGCATTATTAAGACAATTTATCAGAGTTGGAGAGCTTTATTTCTCTGGCATTAAAGCTACCTAGTCCATGATGTTTTTACACAAATCCCTCAGCATGTTGTCTGAATATCATAGTTCATTCATACACAGTGCATACACTAGGCTCATACATACACTAGGCTATTGCTGTTACTTACAGAATAGATATAACAATATGAATCTTGGTATTATTTCTAATCTTTGACATGTCATTTGCAGTGTCACGGTGTACTGTAAAATGGTATTACTGCATTCTAACCAAGGGTTTACTGGTAAAATATAAACAAGATGATATATTTAAATGGAATAGTCAAACCTGACCAATTTGGGCCTCAATGAAAAAGGTATAGTGAGGTTAGTTAGGTGTGTTAATAGGTTTTCTTTGTTGTGGATGTTGTATGTGCAACTGCCACTGAGCTTCTGCTTCCTGGGCTATACCCTCCTCCTCCACTTTGGCTATACCCTCCTCCTCCACTTTGGCTATACCCTCCTCCTCCACTTTGGCTATACCCTCCTCCTCCACCTGAGCTATATCCTCCTCCACCTGAGCTATATCCACCTCCGCCTGGATATCCTCCTCCACCTGAATGTCCACCTCCTCCCGAGCCATATCCTCCACTTCCTCCTCCTCCAGCACCACCAAATCCATATCCTCCTCCACCACCAGATCCATAGCCTCCTCCGCCACCAGCTCCTCCTCCTCCTGCTCCACCACCAAATGTGGATGAACTTCCACTGACCACAGCTAAAATGAAGAAAACACTTATTAGCTTCAATTACACATGAGTTTATATCAACTATACATGTTTATTCTCATTATATATGTTAACTTACAGATGCTGACATTGCTGACAACTTGTCCAGACATTCTGTAAAAGAATAATAAGAAAATATCAGGAATACTTCAACAACAAGCCAAACTGCGTTACTCAAATGTAAAGAAGGTTTTTTCTTTTATTTAGATACAATTTCACACATAGCATCAGGTGAAACCTTGGGTAATGTGCACCCTGGTCCTTTAAATATTCTATATCTTTTTTGAGCTTCCTCCATTTGTTTTCTGTGAAGTCCTATTGTGTGACAGCTGTTAGTTCGGATAACATTTGTCAATGTGTTTTTTATTATATGGTGATATTGTGGTATTTCCAGAAAATTGATTTTAAATTTGAAGGTCAACTGGTCAGACTTCCGTGCATGGTATAAAGGCTGCCTTTCTCTAAATAAAAGTAATCTATAGTTCAAGTAAAATGCTTAAACTGAATTAACTTAAGACTTTATATTATGCGTTCCTAAGTCCATGATCTTTCTAACACTACTGAAAACCAAAAATCTCATCGGTCTTGATGGACGTTCCTATAAAATTAAGGCCTCAGTTTAAGATTGTTGGATACATTTTCCAAATCAGTAAACATTTTTTTGAAATGTTTATTAAAAAAAGATTTAATTTTTTTTAAATATTCTGATAGTTATTTATATCATTTTTTATGTATAGTCTATATCAAAAGTTTATCCAAAAATATGGAATCACTTGAAAAGTTTGTCCAACAATATTAAATGGATGCTCAAATCAACATTTTTTTTCAGTAGAGAATATGATATGGATTGCAAGGGTAGTTATTGTAATATTTCTTTAAATTATAGGAAAAATAATTTAAAACAATGTATTTGATAGTTTCCCTTTACTCACCTCCCTTCCTCTCCTTCCAGTAGTTTCCTGTAGGTGGCAATTTCAATATCAAGAGCCAATTTAACGCTCATGAGTTCCTGGCATTCACGTAACCG